TGGTGAGGTCACGTGACCGACCTGACCTTATGTGACCTTTAGAATGAATCCGAGATATATATGTTACAGGCAATGTGTGGAATCAGGCATTCTATAGAATGCCTAGGCTTTCTATAGAATGCCTGACCGACCAGGCATTCTATAGAATCCCTAGGTATTCTATAGAATGCCTGACCCACCAGGGATTCTACAGAATCCCTAGGCATTCTTAAGAATGCCTGATTTTCAGGCATTCTATAGAATGCCTAGGAAATACACGAATCTTTCCAACATATAAGTGTATGTTACTATGTTGTATAAGATTATGAGCACAGACCGACATGTAACATTATTATTTTCTGCCAGGCTACCTTGCGTTCAGCTATTTATGTTCATTCAGTCAAATGTTCATTCAGTCAAATTTTCCGGTCAGGTATTCAATCTGACCTTATTAGGTCAAATTGTATCAGGATTTCATTCTGAGAGTACAGAGTATTTATCTTAACGCTAGAAAGACGATGGTGGTAATGTCAATATCGGAAACGCCTTTGGTAAAAAAAAATTACACAGAAAAAAAATTGACAAATCGTCCATTTTTGGAGGTGTTTGCCTTCTAAGGAATTGATTTAAGGTCAAACTGAAGAAAACGGCTACAAATGGACAAAAATTGGGCTGACCTAAAAAATGGCTTAGCTATTTGTTTTAGAAATGGCACCCTTTCGAACATTGCCAAAGAAGAACTGAAGTAAAATTTCATAATTTTGAGTCTTTGACGACCTTTCGAATACCGCATGGCCCAGAAGTCAAGCTGGAAGGGGAGATCGAACAACACCTAATCCGGCTCTTGTTACGGCCGGGCCACCGCCCAGACGTGGAATAATGAGCCATTTATTCAGGTTATTCCCTGACATTACGGTGTAGGTTGAGCTGTCCATGTATGTATATTGAGAGTCGTTACACGAAGTGCTTATGACGACATAAAATGTGACCTTTGGTGTATTTTTCACCTTCATTTCTAACATCAGAACAAAACCATCGTCATTCGCAATCACTTTCGATTCAAGCCTACGGTCCACCCTCCCAGCCAACACTCTTCTAATGCAGCTTCGTATCTGTAGCAGCATAATCCTCCGAGGGTAACAGTTTAAGCGACTGGTTGGCCTGTGACTCTCCCGCGTGCCTTGCGCCGTGGCTCTCCCGTGCCAACGGAATTGGATCAGCTGCTGCTTGCGGCGCACCATTTGGTGGTCGGCATAGCCCAATACCTCCCTCGCTTCCTCTCAGCTCATTGCCCTGAAATGGTGTGAGGTGACGACCGGCCTAGGCCAACAATGAAAATTAGGTAAACAAATAGCATTACTGCCACTGACCCCTAATTTTCGAAGTGTGTTTCGGACAATCAAAATGCTTAGGCATTCTATAGAATGCCTGGGAGCTTAAGCCAGGCATTCTATAGAATGCCTAAGCAGTCAGGGATTCTATAGAATACCTAGGGATTCTATAGAATGCCTGGTCGGTCAGGCATTCTATAGAATGCCTAGGCATTCTATAGAATGCCTGATTCCACACATTGCCTGTAACATATATACGAATTGTTAGGCCTCCCGAGGATATAACAGGGCCTGGAAGTTGCATCTCCCTGCGAAAGCTCCGCTGGCACCGAGGGCGTTGCGAGGTTGTGACATTTCAGGACCGCACAGAGACTTACTTAGCTTAGACGTGCTAGGTCAGTGACCTGACCTGACCTGAAAATGCGGTTGGTGTAAAAAAACTGGTTTGAATCAAGTGTCAGGTATGCTGAATTTCAGCTCTCTCTATCGCTGGCGTGCTTGGCGCTGTCGCGAAAAAAAAACGTATGGATATGTACATATGGATATGTAACGTATAAATAATCGTATGGATCGTAATGTTTCGGCGAGAGATAAAATGCGATAAAAGGTTGGAAATACTTTGTACAATGCATAATGAATAGCATATGGCATCATTTCTTATTCCAGGGATACTCGGATGTATTTCGGGTTCAATCTTCAAGGAAGCCCATTTAAAACGATTGCTTCTATGTCAGTAGCACGGTCATATTTTCATCTTTCGAAGGTATTTGTGGGGCTGGAAAACGTGATTTATTCAAAGCGAAACTCAATGGATCTTCAGGTTCACCGCTCCAACTCTCTTCAGGCAAACAAGTTAACCCTCGCCGGACCTATTGGTTTTCTACATACGCGCCGGCCGGGGGGGGGGGGGGGGGGCGGGTACGACCCCCCTCGCCGTTTCGCCCCTGGTAGAGCTAGCGCGTCGCGGAAAAAACGAGCGTGTGCGCCGTTACTAGACGCAGAGATTGGTACCCGATTTTAAGGTCCTAGGTCAACCGGTGACCTCTGAGGTCAGGTCAAGTGCTCCAAGGTACGGTTCGGTTTTTGGTTAATTACTTCGCAAAAAACGGCCGCAGAGCCGCAATTTTGGCAGCATCGTGTTCACCTTGCTCAGGCGCGTCGAATGATATACTTATTGTTTGGGTCAGATCAACTTAGGGTGTTGACCTCAGGTCACGGTCAGGTCAGCACCCCCAGGTCACGAAGTTGGTCGAAAGAGGTCATGTCGCATATCATTCGATTCGGCAGGTCTTCCTGAGTCCATTGGTGGCTTTCCAGACTCGCTAGCCTAATTTGATCGGGAGTTATTGACGAAAAACTAATATGACCTTGATGACGTCATAAATGAAGTCATGTAAGGCCAACATTGCAAAAGTGACGCATCTAACCTTACAAAGAGTGCATTAAATCACGATTCTGTGTGCCTGAGATAGTTGGAGACCGTTCCCGGCGCCAGAAAAGCAGTTTTCATTTTTCCCCATTGACTTATAATGGTGAGGTCACGAAAATGACCTGACCTCATATGACCTTTAGGAAAAATCCGAGATATGCAAGCTGTTAGACTCATAATGGATACTAGATCCTGCAAGTTTCATTTCCATATGACATCTCCACTGGCAGTGAGGGCGTTGCGAAGTTGCGACACCTGAAGACCGTGCAGAGGCTCACTTATGACGTCATAGGTCAGTGACCTGACCTGACCCAAAAATGCGGTTGGTGTCAAAAGATCCGGCTTGAATCAAAGGTCAGGTATGCCAAGTTTCAGCTCTCTATCTCCAGCGTGTTCGGAGCTATCGCGAAAAAACCGTATGGGGGCGGCACCCGCCCCCCCCCCCCCTCGGTCGGCGAGGGTTAAATGTACATAATACCAGTAAAACGCCTTTTGGGCGAAGAACGAGCGAGCGAGATAGTGAGCCCTGCACGTGCAGAAGGGCGAGAGGGTACTTCCAACGGGCTTGTGCAAAGCACCCTTCTAACCGGTCGCTAGCGGTGTACCAAATTTGAACGCAATCGGCCCAGCCGTTCCTGAGATCTGAAAGTGGCATTCTGAACGTGCGCACATGCAAACGGGGTCCAAAATGACTTTTGCACGGCACCCTACTAACCGGTCCCCAACTGTGTACCAAATTTCAGCGCAATCGGCCCAGCCGTTCTCGAGATCTGGAAACGCCCCCTGCACGTGCGCACGTGCAGTAGCACCCTAACCGCAACACATGGGAATGCATTGCCTGGTGGGTGCCTACCTGTATGCCAAGTTTCAGCGAAATCGCCCAGTAATTACCGAGTTACTGAAATGGGAACAAATTTGGCACCTCTTATTGTTGTATTTTGCACGTGCAGTGGGGGTCATTCACATAGATGAAGAGTATCCGAACTTTGGTAGAAGGGATGCAGCTACCCTATAAAAATGACCGCAAGACAATCGCCCAAGCGGCTGCTGAGATATGGGCCTCTCAAAATCACTACTTTTGCAAAACTGCTTGAACACCCTTGACTTTTCACGTGGCACGTGCCATGGCGGTCACTGAGATGTATCAAAAGTAGTCAATTACGGGGTAGAAGGGATGGGGCTACCCAGCAAAAAAGACCGCAGGCCATTCGGTCCAGCGGTTGGTGAGATATAAGCCTCTCAAAAGCGTTACAGGCCGGGCCGGGCCGGGCCGGGCCGCTCATACTGAGATTTTTCCGTTATATTGAAAAGATGCTGATTATTTAGGGACATACAATCGGTGTCTTTTCAATATGTTATGAGGTTATCGGTGGAGCCAACAAATAAAAGTAAGTAATAATAATAAAAGTAAGTACATTTAGTTATTTGTTGGCTCCACCGATAACCTCATAACATATTGAAAAGACTTGGAAACTCGCTCGCTGCGCTCGCTCGCTCGTAATCATCACAGATAAGGTATAAACCGGAAAAAAAGATAGGCCTAGATCGGTGGGCCGTGCAGTGATCATGCATTCATGGATATCTTCCGTTGGTGGACGTTACAAATAGTTACATGTAGTCAGATGCATTATAAATTCATGTAGATAAGGTACTAGTTAGTGCAGTTTAGTACGAGTACCTACTGCTTTGTCTAATAAAACGACGCACTCGTATACAACACACGCATCTGAATATGTTTCCGTCGTGCGCATAGTTCTAACTTCTAAGGCAGTACCACGGAATATTATAGTCTACGACAGACTATATATTCGTCGTAGACTATACCTATCTTCCGTGGCGTGGCAGTACCAAGCGTTTCTGTGAGAAGGATGCCTGACAGAACGTGCAGAGACGATGGATATCATTCGAATATCAACATTTTTGTAACACCAGTGCTGTTCGAAAACAGCACTGGTGTTACAAAAAAATTACAAAAATTCCATTCCTTTTGTACTGTTCGTCGGGTATTCAGCTTTTTCTTAACGCTACCCACATTTCAGTTCGCTTTGTCGTTTTCAAATGTTTTTGGTAGATATTTGCTTTGGCTAGGTATGGTGTTTTCTGTTTTCTGAATGGTTCACCTTTCGCGGACACTCGTTCTTAAATCTCCTTTTTTTATCGGTACATAAGCACCCTATTCGATAACCTGCTGAGGACTTAAAGCATCCCTGCGGTTGGCTTTATTCCTCGTCACTCACAATAGTCTCTGTCATATGACTTACCTGCCGAACGCAGCGGAACCCTCAGCTTCCAAAGTGCTTCCTGGCTGGCCGGATCCCGACACCGTTACATGAGAGCAGACGGCAGCACAGCCCGCATCGCCCGCATATGACGCTCACTCCACTCGTGGGTTCTCAGACACACAACGAGGCAGCTTGTTGTCCGTTACGCTGCCCGAATGGGTCTGGTACTTCGTCCAAGGAAAGGAAGCGAGGTGGATTAACGCACCACCCAGATCCCACACAACAAAGGCTAGGTCACATTTGAACTACTTTAAAGCTCAAACACAAGCACCTTGACACTAAAAATCACGAGCGCTTCTGTAGCAGAGCTGTCTAACTAGAATACCGTTTCACTTGATTAGCTGAACACACATTCTGATTAGCTGGTGTTCAAAGTTCAGTCCCGCGAATATATCATATCACGGGTCATACGCTTCCGTACTGTGCTCACGAATCTATCACGGTGCGTTGGTCTCGACAGATCACGAGATCGTCTCCTGTCACATCTGCCTGTCACAGTCACAAACTCACACCTGGCTTCATCGGCTTCGTATTATCAGCGAGGTCTGACTAAATTTTCGCCGCACACACCGCTCACCACAGCCACCCAGCCTTCAACACCTCTGATTTGCCGCTGTTCACCGGCAACGGCAAATGTACCGGCACTGTTGCCGCCACCGCCACCGCCGCCACTACCTCCGCCGCCCGCCGCTGCCGCCGCCGCCGCTGCCGCCCGTCGTCACCGTTATCGGAACGGTGCGCCGGCGGCGATGGCTGCCTCGAGTGTGTGTCTGTGTGTGTATGTGTGTGTGCGGGTCGGTGAGCGCGCCGTGTGTGACCAAGGGTCGGTCGGCCGTGGAGAGCGGAACTAGTTCAGAGTGGGTCAGTGAGGGCAGGGGAGGGCTTATTGGGCGGAGAGAGAGAGAGAGAGAGAGAGAGAGAGAGAGAGAGAGAGAGAGAGAGAGAGAGAGAGAGAGAGAGAGAGAGAGAGAGAGAGAGAGAGAGAGAGAGAGAGAGAGAGAGAGAGAGAGAGAGAGAGAGAGAGAGAGAGAGAGAGAGAGAGAGAGAGAGAGAGAGAGAGAGAGAGAGAGAGAGAGAGAGAGAGAGAGAGAGAGAGAGAGAGAGAGAGAGAGAGAGAGAGAGAGAGAGAGAGAGAGAGAGAAGATAGGACGACCTAATTAAGCCGTCCATGGGGTATTCATATTTCATTTAGGTATGAAGTATACCCTAAGTGAGGCGTGCCTATGCATAATTGTGATGTCTTAGGGGATAGGTTATATACCTATAAGATGAGATAAAGCTGTTGGTTCGAAGCTCAACCAATCTAGCAATAACGATGAGCGGGAAAGAGGACGGTAGTACCTAATTCGAGGCATTGCCAAGATCGCTAGACATGGGATGGATCCGAGCAGGTTTCCAGGACTGGGATGTCATGTTCTTTGACACTATCTTGAAGAGAATAATGCCTGCAAAGCCCGTCAAAGCCACACATATAAAAAGAAATCGCATACCCAAAGCAGAATATGCTCTAAGCATCCTATACCTACCTACGAGCAGGGTGGACAGTAAAACCTCACGCACCGACGCGCGGCAGTCGAACAGGTAAAAAATACCTACAGAAATGTCTTTCACTTGAGATCGTAACTCGCAGGCAACAGTTAAACCGACATCAACGAAGTATTGGCTCAACCCGTCAATTCTAACACGGGGACAGATTGCCTGCTTATTGTGTTTGCATTTCACCACTTTGACGTAAGTTTCGTCGCAAATGACGCCGGCCCGTCCGCAGTTGTCTCGGTCTTCCGGCTTCCCCGGCGTTCCCCTCAATATTGCTTTTGTCACGGCATGCCTGCTGTCCGGCTCCCTCTCCCCAATGCATATGTGTCGCCAGAGATTTTCGGAAGGGGGGTAGAGAGCAAAATCCAATTTGTTATTAAATCATGCCTTTAAACGGTCCTTACTCACACGTGTTATACGCCATTCGACGCGACATAGCGCGAGGAATGCAGTGGTGATAGAGTTTTTCCTATAGTTATGAAATGTAAAAGATATAACAATATTTGTTTTAGTAGGAACGACTTGCTTCACCCGTTAGTTCAGTTTTAGCAGGGCCGAATATTTCAATGGGGAGGGCACAGTGGGTCTAAAAGGACACCCCTCCCATAGACGGACCCCTGTGTACTGGACAGACATGCTTCCGATCCTCATTCAGAAGTTGAAAATGATCCAGGCAATCGGCTTACCTTTCTAAAAATGCATATTCTTGCATGCAAATTTTCTGTGATGGATTTTCTTTGTCTTCGACTTGACTTCGACCCAGGCTTTCAAAATCGACTCCGACTCCGGTCAAAGCTGTCGACACCGACCGACTCCGCCCCCGACCCCGCTGCCCTGCCCTGAGGCACACGTGACCCCTCAGATGCCGGTTTTGAGTCTGCAAGAACGCTGTGTTGCCTCAAGAGCTCAGCTGGCCTTTAAGAGGTCAGAAAAGGTTTCCAGAAATCTTCGAGAGTCCGTGTGTTCAGGCCTACATAGACCTGCCGTAGGGATTGTCCTCAAAGTCAAAATGGGCCCCAGGGGCGTAACTTTATATCTCTTTGGGGGGGCTTGAGCCCCCCCCCCTGTGCTGAACTGAGCCCCCCTTGGGAAGCTTAGAGCCCCCCTTGATTAATTTTTAATTCTTGACAAAACACACACAAACAGCAAGACACTAACATCCAATTTCCCCATTTTCCACCATACACATGAATTTCCAGGTTGGGGGATGATCATGGACTTGTAAACACCCTCGCCCGTATAGGGGGGAGGGGGTCGAACGGACCCCCCCCCCCTCAGTTTTTCGCGAATAACTCGCGTAAAAAGCGTCCGATCGCAACGAAACTTTGAATACCCTCGCGTTATTCAATTTCACACCTACCCTGAAAATTTCATGACCCTGACTCAAATGACCTTTGACCTGTGACCTACTTTTCGAGACCATGCTTGGTCGGAACTCGGAATCGCGATTCGGCGTACGAGTATATCCGCTCGCATTAGCCGCGCGGTTGCAGTCTTTTCGTGGTTTCAAGCGTTCAAACATGTGATATGATGTTGCTCCCAATGCAGTAAGGTGGGTGTGAAGGTCACCTGAAGGTCAGGTCAGGTCATTGACCTTTGATGACCTCGGTTCACTTTTTCGAGTTTTACATGTTTCTAGGCTAGTTTTTGGAGCTGAATTGGAATTTGGCAACCATATGGACATTTACGAAGTAGTTTTGGTGCCTTCCTAATAGGTTACGAAGCTGTCAGAGGTGGTTGACACATACTATGAATACCTGGCAGGACCCCTACTGGTTGACTTCACTTGACCTGACCTGACCCGACCCGACCTAGCCTAAATGCATCTAGTCTAGAACCATGTAAAACTCGAAAAAGTGAACCGAGGTCATCAAAAGTCAATGACCTGACTTGACCTTCCGGTGACCTTGAAATCCACCCTAATGCATGGGAGCCACATTATATCCCATGTTGAACGCTTAAAACCACGAAAAGACTGCAAACGCGCGGCTAATGCGAGTCGACATGCGCCGAATCGCGATTCCGGCCAAACATGGTCTCGAAAAGTAGGTCACAGGTCAAAGGTCATTTGGACAAGGGTCATGAAATTTTCAGGGTAGGTGTAAAATTGATTAACGCGAGGGTACTGAAAGTTTCGTCGCGATTTGCCGCTGTTTACGCGAGCATTCGCAAAAAAAACGAAGGGTTCGGTTCGTCCGGTCGACCCCCCCCCCCATACGGGCGAGGGTTAACATGAGCCCCATGGGCGTTGCATGGAAAGAATGGGACCAAAAGTTGGCAGTGCTCCCCCCTTAAATGAAAGTGTTCCGCCGCTACTGGGTAGATGTGGATCGGTGGTTAAACCTGCGCCTGGGTCTCTGAGTTTCAGTCATCTTCACCGTCGTGAGGGCGTCCAATTATTTCAGAGGCTGAGATAAAAAGATTCGTAAAAAGCGATCGACTGCTCCAAACAAATGGGTCCCTCCAACAATGCCTAGGCCAATTTTTGTATTTCCTGCTTACTTCTCCATTGTCCCTTCGTAAGATCACACATATAAAATCCGAATTACACGAATTGCTTGCGCCGTTACCTTTACATTGCTGTGCAGTGCTGCAGAGTCGATTGATCGACTCTTTCTGTACCATTGACCAGGGTTGTGCTTGACTCATGAGTCGAGTCAGAAATTTGACTCAACTCTGACTCAAATGAGTCAGGTTTGAGTCGAGTCGGATAAAATGTTGAGCTGTTGAGTTGAGTCAGAGTTGAGTCAGACAAAAATATTAAGGTGTTGAGTTGAGTCAGTTGAGTCAGTAAAATAACTTTTGACATTGAGTTGAGTAAAATCATTAAGGAACATGAGTCAGCTGACTCATCTTTTTTGAAACAATATATGTAAGCTTTCCATTCTCCCCCGCTTAACAACTTAGGCCTGGCCCTGCTGCCGGATTTTTTTTTTTCACCCCCCCCCCCCGCTCAACAACTTTTTATCTGAGTCAATTTTGAGCCAACACACCTGACTTAACAAAAAGTTGAGTCAAGTTTGAGTCAACTCATATTTTCATTGAGCCGCTTGAGTCATGAGTCGAGTCAAGGGAAAAAATCAGCTCCTTGTTTGAGTCAGAGTTGAGTCAGGGCTCTCTGAAGTTGAATGATGAGTCGAGTCGGCAAATTCTTTCGAGTCGAGTACAACCCTGCCATTGACAACAGATATGCTCCTAAAACCCACAGCACGGTAAAACTGAATTGTGGTATGAGCCTTTTTCTTTTGACTGAATGTTTCTTGACCAGTGGCGGATCCAGAAAGCGGTCCTGGACGCTACAGATTGGGGATATCCATAAAAAGTTTCTCCAATTTCCAAAAACTCGCCGGATTTCGATTCCTTACGCACTGCTGAGTGCTGAGCAGTTTAAAACAAACTCAAACTTCTAGGATATAAGCTATACGGTTGAAAGGGCCTCAGTTTTTTATATGCAAGGCCACTTGACTTGGTGATCAGATCTTAGGTGCTCTGGCATCAAACTTGTTACACAGGCTGCAAAAGTCATGTTTTAGAGCTGTTTTGCCAAGTGATTTTGCCAATTTTCGCGGCGCTTCGCGCCGCCAATTCATACTCGAGTCAAAAACAGATCGGGAGTTGTACCTAACCCTCGTTAAGCACCCTCATCAAGCATGTGATTAAGCACCCTCACACGCAGACGCAGGCATGCACGAGTATATGCATGCATTACCATAGACCACTATATATCGTATATAGGTATATAGTGGTCTATGGCATTACCTATCAGACTGCGGTGGCACATGTAATTGTAAACATGTATACCTCGTAGAAGACAAAAAGCTTTACCGTTAACGGTGTGAAATGGAAACGGACTTCAGACTGTACTGTGTAGGCATTTGGCCCATACCATTAGACATATAGTGCATCGGCCTGACAAAGTACAGTAACAATATCTATAGGTTTAAGCTTTTAGCCGGCTGATCCGTCCCCCTGTCGAAAACCCGTAGGTAGGTACGTACAGACATCCCAAATATGGAAAGTTTTGCTGCTGACTGCTGAGCCCCCCCCCCCCCCCCTGACAATATCATAAAGTTATACCCCTGATGGGCCCTCAGAGGACTGACATGGGCCCTTGGACACCGATGGGACCCTCAGAGGCCAATATGGGTCGTTGAGGCCGGCGGAGGCGTGCAGGACTGCCAAAGTGGCCCTCAAAGAT